CTGCAGTTGGGTGATAATCTCCCTCATTTAGCCTCCCGGCTGCTTCCCCGGCTCATTGCCCAGCTGGTCCCTGGGGCCCGGCCCAGCTTCTTCCCCACCCCCAGGCCCGTGCCCTGGCTCCCCTATCCCCCTGCTCCACCCTCCCAGCCCCCCATCATCCCCAGGGGACCAGCTGGTCATCCAGCACCTTGCCATCGAGCTTCCAGGCTAGTGTGACTGGCCTAAACCTGAAGTAGGGGAGGGGGAGTTAGGGACCTTGGGGCTGGGGGCGGGGTGATCCTCACACACTTCAGGGTCAGGGTGTGAAATCTCAGCCAGGGTTCCGCTGCCCTCCAATTGTCTCCATTCCTCAGATTCGTCTGTAGTCCAACTCTCTACTCACGACCCCATTCCCGCCTGGGAAAGAGAAGGGTGGAAGGGCTAGGGACAAATTTAGAATGTCACCCACACTGTTGGGTTGGTCCTGGCAGATGTGGGAAGGGGGTGGGCAGAGGGTGGTATAGGACCAGAAGCCAGGCGCTCCTGGCTCCTGCACCTGGGAGTGGTTTAGAGGTCTTATTTGGGCAACATTCCCAAAGGGAGTCCAGAGACACCCCACCGCCACACACCCCCCCCAGGGCCCAACTTGGGGTTCCAAGGTGGCGTTCACAAACCTTCCAGCACCCTGGTTCTCAGGGGAGGGTGCTTCTCCAGCACAGGAGCTACAACTCCCCCCTCCCATGAGTGTGCAAGCCCCTCCCCCATACTTGTGAGCACCAGACATGGAAAGGACACAGCCCCGCCAACATCCAGAGGGCATTCCTTGGTCTTTAGCATCCTGTCGAAACGAGGGACTCTTCTGTCACCCTTCCAATCCATGCACCTGTTCCAGGTCTGCCCTGGGAGCAGGAGTGGGGACCAGCCAGTGTGGGACAGACGTGGGCGGGAAGGGACAAGTGTATGGGGGGGCTGGGGATGGGCCGGGCCTGGCTGGTGAGCGAGCTGCGGTGACAAACGGGCTGTGCGGGGGCCGGGGGGCGGACGGACGCAAGGCGGCTGATTTATCTGGGTTATTTATGCTGCAGACGAGGCAGGAGAAGTGGTTAATGAGAGTCCCGGGCGAGGGGTGGGGGAGTCCTGGACGTGAGCTGAGGCGATTGAAGAGGGTTAGCGTCCAGCTGCTGGGCCCTGCCCCCACCGTGCGCCTGCACCTCACACGCCACCCCACCAGGACAAGCCCCCCACTGCACCCTCTCAGGTGCTGCACCTTCCCCTCCTCATTCAGGTGTATTTCCAAGTCAAGGGAGTGGGTTACCAAGGGCTTTAGGGAGGGGGCTGAGAGAAGAAAAATCCTGGCGGGGCTGAGTCTGTGGGACCCAAGTCTCCGAGGCGGTGGGGGGGGTACACGATGGGGGACGGCGGGGGGATGGGGTAATGCTGCGGGAGGAGGGCAAAGGGCGCTGGGCGCCTGGTCTGTGGCAGCAGGAGGCTGAGTGGCATTGCTGGGTGGGGGGAGAGGGGGCGGTCGGGGAGCCAAGAGCCCGGGAAAAAAGGGAAAGGAGGGGGAGAGCATCCCGAGAAATGGGGAGGGGGGGCGGGCAGGCGGACTTTGAGCAGCGAAAGCTGCTGGGAGCAGATAAGGCGGCGCTGCAGCGGGAGGGATTAAAGCTCCTAGGGGCCATGGGGGTGGCTGTGGTGCGTGGGACACAGGAGGGGGAGGAGCAGGGGAGGGCAAGACACAGGCCAAGGAGATGGAAGGGGGGTTGGGGCTGCAGTGGTGGGGTCAGGGGCTCCTGACCTGGGGGAGGCCCTAGTGCAGAGGTGGGGTGCCTGTGGTGGTGCCCCTTGCCCCACACAGTGAGGGTGCAAGGTGCTCGCCTGTGGCAGGGGAGGTGCCCAACCCGAACGGAGGACGGGGAAGCCCAGCTCACAGCGCCCCCCCCTCGTGCGTGGCCACTGGTAGGTCAGCGCGTCCCGGAGACGGTCCTGCGCGTAGCCCCAGGGCTGGCACAGGGCTCCGAAGGGGAAGTATGTGGGCTTGGAAGAAGAGCAGGTGGCAACACCGAAGGCCTGTGCCTTGGACCCGGGAGTTCCTTCTGGCCCCCTGCCCACCACCCAAGGGTACACTTGGAGTGGGAGGTCCCCAGCTTCCTCCAGATGACAGCCAGGCCGGGAGGGGGGTGTGCTCTGAGGTGGCTGCGGTGGCAGTGGGGAGCGAGGGGAAGGAAGGGGAGGAGGAGAGGGGGCGGCGGGCGGGGCAGAGTAATTGCGTGTTTGTCGGTTCTCCTGTCTGCACCCGAGGGAGCAGCCTGTGCGCCCGGTGGGTGTAGCTGCGCCTCCAGGAGTGTCTATTGGCGGAGGTGCTGTGTGTCTGTCTCTTGTCTCGGGGTCCTGGCTCTCCTTTGCCCCCCATTGTGTTTTGGGGAGCGTGGCTCTGGGCACACCCAGCTGTGCTCCGCACTGATGCGGCAGATGTGGTGGAGCCCCAGCTGTGCCTGCTTCCTGGAGAAGGGAAGGGGGCTGCAATCTGCTCCCCCATAATGGCTGCTCAGAGGCAGGGGAGAGGAACGAGCTGCTGGGGCCGGGCAGTATCCCGGGTACCCCTGCCCGGGCCAGCCTCTCCCATTGGTGTTCTCGGCTCTTGAAGCCCATCCAGATCTCTTGGCCAGCGTCTGTCGTCTGTCCCTGTCTCCGGCACCCCTCCCCTATCGCCCCATCCAGCGTGATGCCAGGGACCCACCCTCCTCCCCGGCCCCCAGTTTGCTCTCCCTCTCCGATTTTACAGATTCATCTTTTTATAGAAACTGAAAAAAAAAAAAGCTCTAATGGAAGGAACGCACCCCTCCCCCGCATCCCTCCCCCTTCGCACCCCCACTCCCCTCCATCTCTCCCACCTCCACCCCTCTGGGGTTGTACCCTCCTACCCTGTGAGGCCAACCCACTCTGTCTCCTCTGGAGGGAGGTTCCTGCATCCTGAGCCCTGACCCCTCAGAGATGGGTGGGGCCTCAGACCCCCTCCCATGGCAGCAAAGGCTGGAAAGAAGGGGTGTGTGTGTTACAATCTCCCTTCTCCGTAAAAAGCCCCCACATTCACTCACACAGCAATCCCCCCACTAACCTGAGGGGTGGGTCATGGTGCAAAGACCTCTTCTTCACTGCGCCTCCCCTGCCCCTCTAACACTGACCCTTTCCCCTTCCAGTGCCTCTCCCACCCAGTCCCCACCCCCACCAGGACTAGGAGGGGGTCCCGGGGGCCAGGGCCTGACACAGACTTATTGGATTTCACGGTGTTTTGCTGAGAAAATAATTAAATTATCATATTTATGATGGAGCTGCCATGGCCTCTGCCAGCCACTTGGAACAGAAGGGTCAGACACGGGGAGGGGGCAGAAGGGACCCAGTCCCTGGCCCTGGGGCCCACAGCTCCCGCCCCTTCCTCTCTTGGGAAGGAGCCTGCCGATCCTGGGGCAGCATCTGCGGGCCCTCCCAGCCCCACATGGCGATGATGGAGATGATGGAAGGTTAGCCTGGAGCCGAGGATGAGGACACAGAGGCTGGGTGGAGTCACATTCAGAGATCGGAACTGCCTGGCCCTGGGTCACTGCGCACTGGGTCACCCACCTGCAGGGCCTGGAGCCAGCTGGCCAGGTCCCACTGTTGCTCAGCTCAGTTAGCTCCCAGAAAGCACATCTTCCTACCGGCCCCACCAGGAAGCCATGACATCCTGGGCCCTAGACCAGTCCGGGTGCTGACTACAAGGCTCCAGCACCCTGCTGCCTGCCACCCCTGCCTGCTGCCAGGACCCCCTCCCTCTCACCCACACCCTGCCCCACCCCCATTCTCTTCGGGTAATTAGATTCCTCTCAATTAGCAGATTACGATCATTACCAGCTCATCTGGCAACCATGCTCTGCACCCACAGTTGGGGAAGGGGGGCACCGAGAGGGGCACAGGGGGGTCATGAGTACACATGATGGAGGAGTGAGTGGGAGTCTTAGGGGCTTCTGGAATGTGGAGAGGAGGGCTGAGACCTTTGTGGTGGAAGGTAGCTCAGGGCTGGCCTGCCAGGGACAGGGAGGCAGAAACATTCCCCCCTCCCTCTGGTGGGGAGCAGCCCTATACCACCAAGAGCGAGGCTGGGAGCAGATGGAACTGGCAAGGCGGAAAGCAGGCTAGGACTGGGGCTGGCTCCAGTCTCGGGTGCCCATTTCCTGGGCCCCACCGCTCATAGCCCGCCTCCCTGCCGAGGGAATGCCGGCCCTGCCTTGGGAAGGCTGGTCCTGAGAACTTGAGCCGGGTCCAGTGAAGAGGAACTGGAGGAGTGGGCTGGCGAGGGAGAGGAGATAATGGTGGGGTGGGGAGGCAGGAGGCGGCCTTGCCTGGAGGCCAGGCCTTCCTCTGAGCCTGAGGCTGAGGGGGTGGGAGGGGAGACTTACCCTGGCTTGGATTCATTATTCATGAGCCCGCAGCTACGACTCCAATTTAAATGCTAATGTGGGGGGGCCTGACTCAGCTGCCCCCCTTCCGCCCCGCCCCCAGCCCAGGCCCGAGTCCGGAGTCAGTGCCGGCTCCAGGGTTCACGGGTTTATTAGGGAGCAGCAGGAGGGAGACCCAGGGCCACCCACACAGCTCCCAGCATGTTGCTGCCCATGAGGCTTCCTAGGGCCTTTCAGGATGGAGTTATGGGCCAGACCTGCAGGGCAGGAGCTCCAGGGGGCGGGGGAGCAAGGGCGGGCTCCTCAGAGAATGATCTGGTTGGTGAAGCTGCGGCTGAGTTCCTTGTGCGGCAGAACAATTGAGTTCAGGATGAGCACCTCCGCGGGGATCCGCACCCGGCAGCCTGAGGCAAACAGAAGGGGCAGCAGCCCCAAGGTCATGGCCCTGGGGTGGCATCTCCAGGCGTGGCACAGGGCAGGCCCTCAGTCCGTTTGCGCTCAAGAGGTGCCTACTGAGGGTGGCCAGCACCTGTGGAGTGCCTGGGGAGGCTGCACCCAGGGCAGTAACCGCGCCTGGCCGGAGACCATACCCAGGATGGTGATGGCTGGCAGTAACTTCCCGTCCTTGAAGAGGCTCTCGCTGTCCATATGGGCTCGAGGGTCGTTGGGGTTGGGGTCATTGGGGGTGCCCTCCACACGAGCCCAGCGCCCCACGGTGCTGCCCCAGCCCACGATGCTGTGCAGCACACAGGTGTGCTCCTGCCAACAGGACAGTGTGCATGGGGGTGGTGGTGCAGATGCAGAGCCTGTGGGGTGTCCTCGGGCCCCACCCTGCTGGCTGTGCCTCAGCCCCTACCTGTAGCGTGGCTCCGTGAAGGACGATGCTCTCTCGAAGACGTACCCCCTCGCCCACGGTCACCCCCTCCCCGATGGAGACATTAGGGCCCAGCTGTGGAGAGGCACATGCAGAGCGTGACCCTTGGAAGGACTTCTGGGGTCCCTCCCAAGAACAGGTAAGCAAGAAGAGAGCTGTTTAGGGTCACCAAGCAGGCGGTGACAAAGCAGAGGCCAGCACCCCCTCAACAGCCACCCCACCTCCCTGGGAGCTGGGTCCTCCACTTACCACAGCTGATGGGGCCACCTTTGCAGTGGGGTGGATATAGACGTTTCCTGAAAGTAGAGACAGGGCCTGGGGGCAAATACCCCCACATTGGATCCTAGAGGGGACAGGGAGGGCCTTCCACTCTGGGCTCCCACTTGGGGGTGCAGGTTCAGAGGGGAGAGAGCTGGGCAGGTGCATACCTCGGATCCTCGGGCCTCCGGGGCTATGCTTGGCTAGCCGTTCCGGATGAGTGGACTGGTATCGGCCCAGGTAGAGGCGTGAGGCATAGAGGGCTGAGCTGGGGGTCACAGTATGGAGGCCTCAGGGGTCAGCAGGGCCTGTGCCAACCACCCCAGAGCACACACACATACACCCCCGCTTCCCCCACATACCCCGCAGACTTGATCTGGCTCCAGATGCCGTCAGTGAGGTGCACGAAAATCTGTCCCTGCCCGGCCAGCGCCGAGAACACGTCCTGCTCCAGCCGGATGGTGCCCGCCCCAGGCCAGAGGCCTGGCGAGTCCTCCCTGGGGGAGAGGAAGAGCACAGTCCTGGCGGGGTGGGGTGGGGTGAGGGCAGCTGCTTCTGGGACAGAAATCAGAGGGGTCCCCAACTCGCTGGACCCCTTCCCAGGACAGGACAGTACACCTAACCTCCAGCTCCTGGCAGGCTAGGGCGCCACTGTGGGGGACCCGGGAACTTACCTGCTTCCCATGCCTGCCCCATGTCCAGGAGCTGGACCAGACCTGGGTTCCCACCCACCACTACATTCATGTTCTGCTACCCAATCACTCCTCTGACCCCCTCCCACCACCCTCCCCATTACTAGATGAAATGACACTGGGACAGACTCACCCCAGAGCAAGGCAGCTGGTGAGGCAGAGACAGTCACAGGGGGAGGGAGAGAGAGGTGGTAGAGACACCAGCCCCAGAGAGACAGAGGCAGAGGCCAGGAGAGAGAGAAGAGATGGTGGGAGTGAGAGGGGGGCTCCGAGTGGATGGGGCTGGCGATGGGCTCACAGGAAGGGAGAAAGGGGAGGCAGAGAGGGGTGCAGACCCCACTGGGAGGGAGGCACCCTGGGGCGCAGGGCCGAGTGCTGGGGCGCTGAGTCCCAGGGGGCTTCAGCCCCAGAGAGAGCACATGTGTGTGCGCCCAGGTGTGTCCTCCCAGTCTGTCCCAAAGATGTCTCTGGGGCACTCAGGGCTCCAGAGAAAGGGGAGGGGGCCGTGTGACAGAGAGGAAACGGGATGGATAAGGAAGAGGGACAGAATGAGGTTGGGAGGGGAGGGACCGGGCTGGAGATGACAGAAAGGAGGAGCAGGAGCAGCCAGGGGAGCAGGTGGAGATGGAGCCTGCAGACCAGGGGTGGAGGGTGGGCATCTTTGACGGGGGTCCTCAGGGTAAGGGGGCCCCCCTCACAGTTGCCTGTCCTGCTGGTTGCGCTGGAAGACATCCCGTAGGGGCCTCAGGGCTTCCGGAGTAAAGAGGTAGATGCCGCAGTTGATGATATCACTCACAAAGGTGCTGGGCTTCTCCACGTAGTGGAGGACCTGAAGATGGGGTGGCAGGATCAGGAGGGGAAGGGGCCAGGGCTACGACTGCCCTTCCGCCCTGCAGCTGAGGGGGTCTTCCTGAAATGCAGAGTACACCCACCACCAACACTCCCTACCCACCCACCACCACCACCACCGCCGTCCCCACGGAGTTGAACCCCTGCACAGCAGTGACCCAGTAGGACAGAGTGAATTGCTCCCCGGGGTTTCTGAGGCTGCAAACCTTTCTGGGAGCAGACCAGGCTCTTTCTCCTGAGGAGTGGCATGTGTTCTGTTACCACCACAACCTGGCAGGACTTTGGTGACTTTGAATGTACCCTTTGCCCTCAAGAGGAGACCCCCATGGCTCTGCCCCACCTCGCCAGCCAGTGTGGTGGCACCCAGCTTGCGGGCCAGGAATGCTCTCTCCTACCTCTTTATCTGGAAAACTCATCTTTGAAAGCACCATCCCATTCAGACCTGGGTGCCCTGGGCCTGGCCACACCTCACAGTGGCACCTGGGTCCTTTGCAATGGTTGGTTTTCAATGGGGGAGGGGGGATGACTTGAGGACTGGGGGCTATGTCTTTTTGGGGCAGTTTCTATCACATGTAGCTGCTACCTCCCACAAGACTTGACACACAGGACTGGGGGGACGGTGGGGACGCAGCTTCAAGAAGTTCCTGGGAAAATGCCAGTCTTTTCATCTCATTTTTCCATGAACCTTTTGAAATCCTCTTCCTATGTATGCACATGGATACATGTATGCAGGTATGTGTATGTCCTGACGAACAGACAGATAAAGGGGTGTATGGGAGTCAGGCTCCAGGGCCAGAGACAGATCCGTTGCCTTGCCAATCAGATCAGGCTCCACCAACGTCGTTAAGGAGACACTATGGAATCCTGGAAGGAGCCCTGGTGGCATTGTGGTTATGCATTGGGCTGCGATCTGCGTGGTCGGCAGTTCAAAACCCTAACAGCTCCGTGGGAGAAAGACTGGGCTCTCTACTCCTATAAACAGTTACAGGCTCAGAAACCCACAGGGGGCCGCTATGAGTCAGCATCAACTCGATGGCAGTGAGTTTGTTTTTCTTTGAGTTATGGAGGCCTGGACAGAGGTGTAGGGTGGGGCTGGGTAAGCGTTGGACTGCTAACCCTGAGGTCAGTGGCTCAAATCCACCAGCCCCTGCCTAGGGAGAAAGATGCAGCTTTTTGCTCCTGGAAAGATTGACAGCTCTGGAAACCCTGCACAGGGTCCCTGTGAGTCAGAATTGACCTGATGGCAGAGAGTACAGAGCCTGGGTGGCACTGTCGGTACGTGTTGGCCTGCTGACTGCAGCTAAGGTTGGCATGTCAAATCTACCAGCCACTTCCTGGAGAGAGAAGAGGCTGCCATCCTCCCGCCCAGACTGATAATCTCGGAAACCCTCAGCATGGAGCAGTGCTGCTGTGTCCTGTAAGGTCGCTAGGAGGCGGATCTGACTTCCGAGGCAGGGAGTTTTAGGCTGTTTTCAAAGAGCCAGGTGGGGCTCAGAGGCTCAGAACCACCCCCCCTCCAGCAGCTCCATGGGAGGCTGGGCCCCATACAGACTGGTGGTGCGGGCTGTGGAGCTCACTCTGGCTCCACAGAGTGGGACTGCCCCGTGAGGTCTCCTCGGCTGCCGTCTCTATGGGGAGTCGGGACCTTGATCCTTTTGGTTTGCAGCCAAGCACTTAACTACTGCGCCACCAGACTCCCCCTTTCAAGATGGCAGCCTGGGAAGGCCTACTCTGCCACCTGGGGTTACTCTTGATCTGGAATAGACATGCCGGGTACCGGCTGTCTCCCACCTCCTCCCTCAGCACCTACCTACTTCCTCCAAGGCCTTCCTGTCCGTCACTGTATGGCTGAATCTAACTCAGCCCCTCCACAAGGGTGCCCTCCCCTCCCACCCACAGCACTGCACCTTTGGCCCCTAGCCAACCTCTCTGGGGAAGCCGATATTTAAAGGGGCATGAGAGGTGACTCTGGAGTCCCTAGGCAATGCCAGCGGTTCAAGTGTGCCATGTCTAACCGTGAGGCTGGAAGTTGGAGTCAGGCCAGAGGTGTCTAGGAGGAAAGGTGTGGACGGTCCACCTCGGAGAAACCTCCATTACGAATCCTATGGCGTCCAGTTCTACGCTGACACCACACCCGGGCCACCACAAGATGAGGGTACCTTTCTGGGGTTCACCCCATCACCCCACACCACCGTTATTAGAAGGCGAAGGCTGGGAAGGACAAGGGACTCCCCCCTCGCCAGCTCTCACCTCATGCGTTTGTGGGTTTTCAACGATGCAGCCGTAGTTGAGGGACTGCGTCCTGTTTGCCTGGAAGAGAGACAGCCGTTACACCCCGGCAGCCAGGCCTGTTTTTCCTTTCTTCTCTGGCCTGTAGCACCAGGCACGCAGCTCCCGCTGACAGGCCTTCCACAGGGGTGAGAAGTGACAGCGGCCCTCCCCCTCCCTGCAGCAAACAGACAGAGGGCTCACCCTCGCCAGCTCTCACCTCATGCGTCTGTGGGTTTTCAACGATGCAGCCGTAGTTGAGGGACTGCGTCCTGTTTGCCTGGAAGAGAGACAGCCGTTACACCCGGGCAGCCAGGCCTGTTTTTCCTTTCTTCTCTGGCCTGTAGCACCAGGCACGCAGCTCCCGCTGACAGGCCTTCCGCAGGGGTGAGAAGTGACAGCGGCCCTCCCCCTCCCTGCAGCAAACAGACAGAGGGCTCAGGGTTGCCACCCAGACTGCCCTTACTGC